GGAGACGGTCAGATCTGCAGATGCAGTAGCTGACAACATAAATGTAGAAAACCAACAACCATCAATGGTTTATTACAGGATAAAAATCTACGTTACTTTAGAAGTAATTTCTAATGCAGATCAATAACACAATTCACAGACATAGTGAAAACCATAACTCGAATACAAACTTCTAACGAACAATCGGCCAATGCTTCCATTATAGGGAAGAATTAGATATGACAGTAAGTTGTAATATAATATAGTGCGTAATTAGAAATGAAACCCATATTTCACTCCGCAAAAGAGCAGAAATTATGAACGCTTATATACAAAATCATTAGAAACGAAAAAATAATCTAGCAGATAAGGAAAAGAACAGGAATAGGAGGAGAGAGATTTTTATTAATCATGGCTGGTTAATTTTTGCGCCGGAACACTACAATTTCACGAGGACATTGATGTGAGTTAAACTTGCAATTTGATTATTTGCGAGAACTGGTCCTCCTCTATGTGATGGTGGTCAAAAAGGAGCATTAATGTTACCATTAGGATAAAAAATTCCAGAAACAGTGAAAGCTTCGTAATTAGTCCAGAATGAAAGGCAAATCAATAGCAAACCGCATAAGCATAAGTTGGAAAACGCCGGGGACTAGTTTTCGCACCGCAAACTTTCCCCACAAAAACCAAGAGCAGATCCAATATTTGCAATCAGGCCAATATGCAGAAACTCTGAGGATGTTAAGTAACACACCATATTGCACAATAATCTTCAAATTTACTAATTTTTTCTTAATTCTAAGTGAAATATATACATCATGCCTAACCCGTGATGAATCGTTGACTAACTACACTAAACGTAGCTCTAATAAATGATGCACGGTGCATGAATTTTCTATCCAGGAGTTGTCATCACTTGTCGTGGCCAGCCAATTTTAGCATCATGGCGTTTGTAGGCGAAAAGATGAGGTTTGCCGGTGCCTCGGAGATTGTCCCGGATTGCGTCAGGGCACTCATGGGGTAGCAGGCAGGATTCGAAACCATTCACGATCAGGTACCTAAACATTCAAAGTATGAATCAAGCCAGCAAATGGAAGAGAAGAGTGGAAAAAATATGGCAATGATAAACAATACTTACAATCCATGATCTTCAGGATTTGTGATCCCTTGCTGGTGAGCGATTACCCGACATAACTTCCCCGTAGTCATTTGCGGAACTCCAGGAAATGTCGCATACCTGAAATGGATAATTGACATAGGGCGGTTTTCACATCACTTATTGGAGAGACAATAATCTTTCGAGGACCAAACTTAAGTATTTAGGTTTTTTGCGCAAGTAAGGCTTCAGCTAAGCTATTTTCCAAG